ATTTCTCAAAAGAGAAGCAATTTTAATAAGCAACAGAAACTGGAAAGGATAAGGTAAAGAATGAGAAGATACAGAGGATAAGGGAAAAGCAAAATGGGGATATGAAACCTCTCCTTAGTTTACACTGAAAATGTGTCAAAATTCTGAAATGTCCTTCCATCTCAACTGTTGACATCTTGCTTATTTTCAAGGATATTTTGATAAAATTAGAATGTAAAAAGTTATTTTTCTCTATTTATAAAGATATAATTACCTTTTGTGCATGATTAGTTTTTAGTTCACATGTCTAAATTGTGTCCATATTTCAATGAGAGTTGCTTCTTTGCCCACATTTTCAAATTGGACAATATTATAGTGGTGTCTCCCCATGCAGAAAAGAGTCATATATATATATATATATATATATATATAAAAAGATGCTTGTTAATTTGTGGTCTCAAGATGACATGGATGTTTAATGTGCTTTATCCGTAAAAAAAAAAAAAAAATTGTATATAATGAGTGCTTTTTATATGTAATTTTTAAGTACTCAGTAATCTTAAAAACTTAGGAAAATATTCTCTAAAATCTGATACTTTGAATTTAAATTTACTATAGCTATCACTTATTTTCTGATAACATGCATAAACATCCATAGCTACAAAAATCAGCGCATATATATATATATATATATATATATATAAAACAAATTCAAAAATTCTTTTAAAAAAATATTGCTGTTTGATGAATTGTACTCAACTTTTCAATTTATGATTAGTATATATAGCTTTTACTTAATACATAAAAAGAGTGAAATTAATACAGAATTTTAAAATTTAAAACTTTAATTATTGTAATTAAAATTTAAGAGAAAAAGATGAAAGCAATTCTTGTAAGAATTCATTATTCATCAAAAAGAATTTTTAAGACAATAGTGTCCTTAATATCTTATTTATAAAAGCAATTAAAAGATTTTCTAATTAAATAATGCCAGTTTTATTGCATTTTTATTTTATGATGCAGAGCATATTCAATAAATGGGGTTTACACTTTACAAAAAAAAAATTTTTTTAAATTTCAAAGTCATGATTTAAATACTCCAAGGAATTCTGCTTTTAATGAATATAAATATTAAGGGGGTGAACATTTAATTTCTCAAAATTTCATAAAATTAAGTGGTAGGTAACAGATGTTAAAGATAATTTCTAAAATAATTTTGTTAATTTATGGATAAGTCCCGAAAGTCATTAAAATCAGAAAATTATTTGACTTTTGCAAGAATTTCCATGTTTTTTTTTGCTTTTTTTACACCGCAAATTAAATGCTAACATTTCCTATACTAAAATTTCTAACAAGGCTGAAACTAATTAAAAAATACAATTAAATAAAAAATACTTTGGTCTTTCCTATTTTTTTTTATAAAAATTTTAATAAAACTGCTTTTTTTTTTTTTCATCATGGTATGCTCTATTTTCAGCAAATTAGTGGAGGTACCTATGTAAATAGGGTTTTAAGCCTTTCACTCCGAGCAAGGCAGGAGTGTCACTAGCATGCAGGGGGTTACAGAGAGTGAAAGTGAGAAAAAAAAAAAAAAAAAAAAAAGTGGGGGGGGAGAAAAAAAGAACAGGGACCAAGGCAACAGAAGATGGTGATTGACATTGCATTTAAATTTTTGAAGATTGTAGTTTTCAGGAAAGCAAGTGAGAGGAGGGGAGTTCCAATGTCAGGAGTATAAGGAAATAAATTGTTGGAGTAGAAGTGGCAGATACATTTAACTATTTCAACAGTAAATGGGTGGGACCTAGTTGCCAATCTAGTAGCACTCAAACTCATGTAGTTGGGGCATCAGGAAAGAAAAAGAAAGAACTCATCAGAGTAGTAGCCATGAAAATATTTGTAGAAAAGACAGAGGGAAGCCACATTTGTTTGTGAGAGAGTGCAGTCAAGCCAATTCAGAACCAATTATATTACAGATCTTTCTTTGGATTTTGTTGAGAATCTCAAGATGAATGGCTGGGGCACCAGAACAGATATGGCAACAGTATTCAATGCATGGACAAATGGTAGATTTGTAGTGGTCAGAGATGGATTCTGATGAGAAATACCTTCTGTCACGACACAACGAACAAACTTTCCTTGCAGTAGATGTAGCTATTGATTCAATGTAGTTGTTCCACTTCAAGTCAGTTGAAAATGTGAGTCCAAGAAGGTGCAGTGAGATGCTCTCACAGAGACAAGTCTCAACCATGCCGGATTTGGGGGGGGGGTCGTTTCTCTGTGTGAGCAGTTTAGTTTTGGAGGCATTCAAATTTACAAGCTATTTCCTGCTCCGGTCAACCACTGATTGGAGATCCTGTTCGAGAGCAGCAGCCAGGTTAACTTTGTTGTCAGTGCTGCCGAGCTTACTATCGCAACATGAGTAAATGGTAGTGTCATCTGCATAGATGCCTATTTGGGAACTGATGACATCAAGGAGATCATTGATGAAGATCAGAAATTGTGTAGGACGCAGGAGAGAGCCTTGGGGAATACCTGCATTAGTATAAAAGGAACTGGAAGAGAGCCTGTTCAGGATAACTTTCATTTCCCTGTTAGATAGGAATGATTGGATTAAATCAGGTAAACACACTGTAATACCATAGCCCTGAAGCTTACATAGAAGACCAGCATGCCAAACCCTGCCTTCAAGATGTCTAGACCCACGGCTCGAGCTTCACCATTATTATCGAGAGCTTGAGATAGATTATTTATATTATATTTATTCAGTTATGGCAGTAAGCACGTCAGCAGTAGACTGGGCAAAACAGAAGCCACATTGTTTGTCAGAGAGTAAATTATGAGAGGTAAGATTCTTAACTACTTCAGCATTGATTAAGGCCTCAAAGACTTTGCCAAAAATCAGTAGGAGATCAATAGGGTGGTAGTTAGAGGGGGGTGAAAAGGAATCTCCAGAATTCTTAAAGACAGGGACGACAGAAGCTGTGAGGCAATAGTTGTATAGTTTGGAGAGAACTGAAGCCAGCTTGGGAGCACATTGAAAAATTTAGCTTCTGGCCCAATAGCACATGAGATGGAACATTTTCTCAGTTATGAAAAGGCATGATTTGGTTTCGATTTGATCTACCAAGATTAATTTGGTAACATTTTTTGTGCTGTCAAGCTGTGTGTCTGATTAAATATTTAGATATATTGAAAATAAAATTTTAGTTTCAGATACCTAATGAGAATGGAGAATCTTAATTGTCAATATATATACAATACAGAATTCAATTTAAATATAAAGAGTTATTTTAACAGTTGGAGATAAGGGAATAACATTGTCATATATGACAGAGTGGTCAGAGCATCAGTGTTCCAATCATAAGACCAGTGTTTGAATCTCACCCGAGTTGATTTGTCAATATCAACCTGAGAGATATTGGGTACATAAAATTATGCTAGTATCATAGCTTTCAAACAAAGTCATGTTATCTTGACAGTGTTTGAGCAAACTGACTTTGTTCTACTACTGATCACGTACTCTCTCTCACCCAGAAACGAACTAAGGTCTCTTCAGTGCAGTTACAGTATAAATGACAGATTGGCTTTGTGTATGCCGATGAAACAAATTAGCATGGAGCAGTTGTCAGCAGACAGGAATTAGCTAGCTGTTCTAGCACATGGATAAATTTGGAAACAAATAACCAGCTATAAAAAGACTGTCAGTGAAGTGATATTAACATCTTCACAATTATACTTTAATTGTAATAAAAGTGTAATAATTTCAAGAACAGAGAAAGAAAAAAAAAATTAAAGTGACACTAGATTGTAGAGAATAATATTCCCCAAGAGTTTTAGAATATTCAGCTGGTATCATAAACAAAATCTTATAAAAACTTTAGGTCAATTAAAATTGTACAGAGTAATAAAGGTGTACAAAAATTTATAGGCCATACCAGGCTAACATCTCATGCTAAAGATCAATGAGAAAAAGAATTGATTTTTAATGGTTCTAACAGTTTTTGTTTTTTTTTTTTTTTGGGGGGGGGGGGTAAAGGAAAGTTTTATGACATTGAGTGTCTTAATGCTTAAGCACTTTATACTGCTGTGGTTAAATGGAAATTTATTCACAACACATAAAGAACACTCATATTTGAACTTTTACAAAGTTTCACTTGACACTGCCAATATTGCAATCATGTAAAGCCGAATACATTTTTTGAGCCCAAACCATAAAAGAAAATTATAAACAACCCAAATAGACTGATTTTAAAAACTGTTGTTGATATCTAAATGTTCAGATATCACAGTCATGATCCTGCAGTTACAATTTTTTTTTAAAACTTAGGGCTTGGTTTGTCAGATATAGATTCTTTTATGAGGTCAATATATCCATTCATGGCAAATTCCATATTATCCCTGCCCCCAGGAGTTGTTAATGTACATTTGTCACTTCCAAACATATGTACATTAAAAGAAGTGTGCTCTGGAAAGAAGTAGATTTTAAATAAGTCAATTTGAAATGTAGTCTTAAAATATTGAAAAAAATAAAATAAAAACAATTGTCAAAACTAATTTCTAAATGCTGATAGCCTATCACTTATAGACATTTATCCAGTTTATAGAAACTGGAAACCCAGTGACCACCTCTTTCTCTTTGGTGGTGAGGGTAAATCACTATTCTCCAAATTAACTTTTATTTTAGCATCAGAGACTGAGCATGCATTTGCTTGTATTATTGAAATTTGAAGAAATAAGGGTCTTTAAAAAAAAAAAAAAAAAAAAGTTCTTATACTAGAGCAGAGTTCACTTTGAACACAACATTTTATGTTTGAGAGCAGGTTTTAAAGGATTTTTATAAAACAATGACAAAAACTTTTGTGTTCAAAATTTACCATCAATTATAAAAAATTTAAAAAAAAAAAAATTATGATCTGAAAATATGCTAATCAATGATAAGCATAATCGTGAAGAAGCAACATTTGAATAGAAAAGGAAAATTAAATGCAGAAAAAAATATACAAGAATAGAATGTTACTTACCATATTTGTAATTTTATCTTTTTTCCTCCTAATTCTACTGTTTTAATTTTAAAGTCGATCCCTAAAAGGAAAAAAAAAAAGAAAAAAGGATAAGAATTCCAAAATTCAATAATATTTGAAATTGCCAATACTCAACGGATAGCATAGAGTTAAAGACAAAATTCCAATTGGTTTTATAGCAATTCTAAAAGCTTTTAATGTTTAACTGTCTATCAGTAATGTTGACCTATAAGCCACAACGAGGGAAAATAAAAACTTTAAAAATTGATATGAACTATTAACAACTAACCCATGTTTAAGGGTAGATCATTTAAAAAGATTTTTTTTCAAAAGCCAACATCTGGATTTTTATAATTATTTTTTTTCTATGGGGGATGGGAGTGAAAAAAAAAAAAGACTTAATCACAATTCATGCACCTTAAACTATTCAGAGCAGAAGTGAAGTGGCTTTGGTACCAAAAGATATTCCAATCCAAAAATAGTTATTCTGTTAGAGTTGCATCAGATATGGATATAGATATATATTATATATATATATATATATATATATATATATATATATATATATATATATAGCACTGTGGAGTAATGGATAGAGGCTCTGAGAAATCAAAGAGTGAATTCCAATCCAGTTTGTTACATTCACTTACATGCAAATGTTCTTGGGAAAGGTATGAACCCATCACTTAACCAGCAATAAAAATAAAAAACTATATATATATATATATATATATATATATATATATATATTCTAGACAATATCTGTATTTCTGAGAGGAGGCATTATGTACATTATTCGGACTATTGTCCGAATCTTTGTCGCCATATTTATTACAACGCATGGCCCAGTGGATAAAGGCGTTAGTTAGATCCAGTGACAGGACCCAAAAAGTGTGAGTTCAATACCTGGTTAAGGCAGTGCAGAACTTTCAGAGGGAAATTAACAGGAGATAACGGACATTCATTAAACATGGCACGTGGAACTAGAACAGTCTACCCCAGTGAGCAAAATAAAGGGTTCAGTTCGACATTTCAACCACCTGAAGAAGGCCGGAGTGTACAACGGCCAAAACATAATAAATATGGTGACAAAGATGGGGACAATAGTCTGAATAATGTAAATGTTCTAGACAATACTGAATTCAAAACTCAAGGAGGGTCATTAGGGGACCTTGTGGCACAGTGTGTACCAATTCTGTATTCAGTTCTTCCAAAAAGTATGACTGGTTCTGCACAGGCCTTCACTACTATAATCCAATAATATGTGCAGGTAGTCTGGCTTTTGAGCTGTAAGAACACAGTTGCTGGACCCTAATGCATTAAAAAGGATGGAGAGCACACCCCATATAACACACACAAAGTTTGTCTAAGTAGCTAGGAAGAAAATTTGTGAGATTTTCAGAGTAATGAATATATAAAAAAAAAAAAAAAAGTTCTGGCAACTTCCATAAGGACTGTTAAAAACCTATTAAAAATTCTTTTGTATCCTGACAGTCTGAAAGAATTAGCACTAAAAAGGCAAGGAAAAATACAATACAACTCAGTAGGAATAAAATATTTACCAATCTTTTCTCTACTACTGCTTACCAAACAGATGTACAATTTCACTTTGTATTAGATACCTGCTGTATAGACTAGGTCTTCAATTGCGACATGCAGTCTTCAGACAAGTTCTGGCATTCACTAATAAAAGAATACTGAAAATAAGTAAGTACTAGAAAGAAGCTATCTTTAAACTTTCTAATTTGGGCATTGCATTAGAAGCCAATTTCAAATGGCAATTCTGGTACAGGGTTAAATCCTTCAGAAAGTAGACTTGTAATGTCGAGGAAGATCACATTTAGAAAAGGATTAAAAACTTCAATTTCTAATGAAAACCCATTGCAAGTAGGTAGTCATTTATTAATAAAATGTAGAGCAAATAGAAATAAAGTGCTAAATTATTCACAAGATTTCTCTGAACATTAACATTCCTAAACTCTCAGAGTGACTGAAATGAAGAGTCTATGAATTCCAGATGGAATATCAAGGCCAGATCATGTGACCCACCTTGAAACTAAAGGAGGCAACACATCTGGAAAAAAAAGCAGAGAAAAATAAACAGTGTTGGGTCAGGAATTTTTCTAGAAGAGGGATGATAAAAAATAAATAAAAGAAAGAAAAAAGAAAAAAAATGAAAAGAAATAAATAAGCAATTATTTTTTTTAATCAAATAAATGGTATCACTGCCAGAAAATACAAACATTCATTTCATAATTTACCAACTAATTTACAAAAGGTTTTGTTTAGATCAAAGATTTGGACAGAAGGCATGGCTTTAATACAAGAATCTGGAAGAGACTACACAGTAAAGAAATTTCAAACATCTAGTTTTCAAACATCTTGCAATTTTTGAAGTAAACCAGCTCTGTATATAAAATCTATGAAAGTCAAAAGTTTGTTTGTTTGTTTGTTTAAAACTTAACGACCCATCGATCAGCAAGAGATCATTTAAGGTCAAACAGTTGTTTTTTTTTGTTTTTTTTTCTTTAAATAAGATTGAAATGCTTTCAAAAAACTTTCACTTTCATTCTTTTTCGATGTTGTCTTGCTTTTTGTTTTTAAAAATTCACTGTTTTCAGAGGTGCGTCCTTTGAAAATTTCTCACTTTTTTCCGACAAGTATCAAAAGGTTTCCCTTTTTATCATCAGACACCAAATTGGAATTATATTTTATTATATAGTCCAACTTTCCTAAGAAATGTCAAGATCAAATTGGGGTTTGATTTTTCGAAAAGTTCTTTCAAATTGTTCGCATTGTAAAATAGTTTTCGAATATGTGCCATGTCACCGCAATCAAGCAGGAAGTGCTTCACGGTATAAACCTCCTGGCATGCTATGCATTCAGGAGGGTCTTCATCTTTTAGTAGGAAGGAGTGAGTTATGCGAGTGTGACCTATGCGAATATGGGATAAAACCACTTCTTTGCGTGATTTTCTGTGTTCAGTTGTTTCTTTAGAGAGGGTTTGATTTGAAATAATTTGTTGTTTTGACAGCTGTTCCAAGCATCTTGCCATTTCTTCAAAATAAAGTCATTTATTAGGGGTTTATAGTCAGTGTATGGAACCTTTATGTTACTTGTGTTAAGTTTCAGAGAGTTTTTTGCAGCCACATCAGCTTTTTCATTTCCATGAAAACCAGAGTGGCTGGGAATCCAACAGAAAATGATAGTTTTATTTTGTAAGATCACATGTATTCTATATAGGAGTTTGATGAGCAAAGGATTGTTTAATTTTTGGTTTTTAATGATTCGAGTAGTGATAATGAGTCTGCAAAAATAATAAATTTATTTAAATTATGTTTAATGATGAGGTCTAGAGCTAAATCAATGGCTGTAATTTCAGCACTAAAAATTGAGGAGTTGTTAGGTAATCTTTTCTGTAGAACAGTACATTTAAAGATAGCCACATCCTACTTTTTTTTTGACTTTGGAGCCATCAGTATATATGGGGCCCAATTTGGGTATTGTTCCAGAATATCATTTAGTTTTTCTATATAGTATAAGGGTGTGTGTCAGATTTAGAGTGGGCAGCCAGTCTTAAAATGACTTTTGGTTGTTCCAATAGCCAAGGTGGATGTTTGGGTAGCTTGAATTCATGTATACTGTTTTTGTCTATCACACTGTGAGTGGTTTTATCATTTTTTCCATGTAAAGACCAAAAGGTTTGATAACATTTTCTTTTTTGTCAAACAGATGTTTATAGTTTGGATTGAATGTGCATTGATAGGCCGAATTTGATGGATTGGATTTGAGTTTTAAGTAATATTGTATAGCTAATTTCTCATGTCTCAGTTTTAGAGGGGCCTCATGAGCTTCGACATATAGGCTATGAAAGTCAAAAGATTTTTTTTTAAATACTTCTGAGATTAATGATAAAAATAAGAAAAGTTTCAAAATGAAATCTAATTTCAGTGATAAAAAATAAAACAACAAAATTCTGTAAACTGCAGGACAGCCTAATTAAACATTTCATCAAGTCAAAGTCAATATATCAAACAAGATAAGGATTTGCAAAATTAAGTATCAATCTTTTTACCTGATGAAATAAATATTATATTTTTTAAATTTATTAAAAGTGAATTAAACAAGAACAAGGAGATAATTTGATGAAAGGATGTAAATGAATTTAAAATAAGTGTTAGGTTTCATTCCATATCATTAGCTTTTATTAAGTGAGGTAATTTGGAAAGCACCCAATCAAATCCCTTAAGATTGTTTGAACAGTGAGGACTTTCACCATTTTGAATTTTTAAAAAGAGGAAAAACCCACTTGTGTAGGCATGAAACTTACAAAATAAGAGACACCAACATCTATGAAAATCTTTCCAAAATAGTTTGTTTTTCAACATTAATCTACATTTTTGAAGAAAATGGAAGGAGTGGAATTTCAGGAGGTAGCAACTAATTCATCACTGCAATCAAAGTTAACCTACTATTATAAAAATGTAATCTCTGGCTACCAACAAATATAAAAAAGATTTAACTGTCACCCATTTCATTGCTGCTTAATATTGCAATTGAGTGATGGAAAGCATTTTGTACTCCTTACAAATCACTTTATAAATCACTTTACTATAGAAGGAAAAAAAAAAAAAAGAACTAGACTGGTATCAAATAATTTTTTTACAGTATAAAAAGAGAAGTGTAGAGAGAAATTGCTTTTCTAGATTTTTCCTTCCTTACTCCATTCAAATAAAGTCTGTCATTGGTATCTACCCTGTTGCAACTATCATGTCAGTCAGCTAGTAAATCCACAAAATGAGTTTACAATACCAATCATCTGGTTAGATGGCAGTGGAAACATTGGCAACAGACTTTCTCAATGTAATAAAATATATTACTTACCAACCTCTTCAGGCAATTTTACCATTCTATCTTCATAAAAGTCTTACCTTTTCTATTGTAATGTTGAATTAACTATGATGAATGGTTGCAAGACATTTTCTTCACTCAAAAAAGCAAAAAGAACTTAGTCGCTTAACATTTCTGAACTTCTAGAATCCACTGTCATTTCAAACAGTT